AGGGTAGAATTCCATCAAAGAAGCTTTTCAAAGTCCTCCTTAAAAACACGTGAATCGTAAACATGAAAATCTCCTTAACACTTCACTTGATTCTGATTTTTTTTTTAATTACATGCATTACTTTTACACATGAAAATAGGATCTTAAATTTAGAAACAATATGTCATAAGATTATTGCCGGTGATGGACTAATATTTCATAAAAAAACATCACATGATTACAAGGAAATAGAGAAGAAGGAATCATATGAATGTAAGGCACTAAAACCATTGATAAAAATCGCTAAGAATGCAATTATTCCTCATATATATATATATCAACTAACTCTTATCTTTTGTCAAATCACAAATAATGCCTAATTCTACAAATGAACAGAAACACCACCAGGAGGAGATAAGAGGGCCAGAAAGGATTAGAAACAAGGAACTCTCCGCAACTAAACCAACCAGCTCAGAGAACACTATTAATAACGAGGAACTCTGCCGGGCAAAAAAGCAACCAAGAACCTATAACCCAACAAATACGCCGAAAGATTGGGAAGGATAGGACATCAGGTGATCTCTCGAGTGGAAGCCGAATAGGAAGTAACGAGTTGGTCATGATTCCAAGGGTGACATGGAGGAGAATGTGTGCAGAGGAGATGAGAGGTTATGGACCATTGTGGAAACCAGGGTGAAATGGAGATGTCCCACAGGGAACCTAAGGAAATAACAGCATTGTAACCACCAGATGAACAAGGATATTCATCTTATCCAAATGAAGTTGGCATTAAAAAATAAGTTCTTATCAGTGGAATACTCCCAGTAACTTCAGGGGAATGAAAATTTTGGAAAAACTAGTTCGCCTTTAGATACATTCTTTCTATTGGCCAACTCGCCTTTGCACGAAGTTAGTTGCTAGTTAGCCTGCGGGGAGGTTGGGATAAACGCCTTTAACAGTATTATTGCCAGGTATTATGAGGTGGATACCCTTAAATCCTTTAAAAGTATCAGTAGACAGTATAGTTATTATTGTTATTATAGTTCAATTCTGCACACGTTTACAGAAGCAACTACTATCAAACGCCTGCCTGGAAACCAACTTATGTGCTCACAAAGAAGTATTTACCAGTCTTTCCATGCCGTGATAAATCGATGTCTTCATTCCTACTTCATATGGTTGCGTAATCTTTGGCCTTAACGGCTTCCTCTTTTGATTGCGTGGAGGATTTCATCATGAGCTGACATCAGTTAGAGAACCACTGGAAAACATACAAGGAGCACTGGACAGCCAGCTGTTTCGCCAGCCTAGTTAGGGACACTTCAGCAGTACGCATCCACTGGGGTTCGAACCCAGGTCCTACTGGTTACAAGGCCAGCTCCTAGACCATTGAGCCACTGGGACCCGACCCAATGGCCAGTGAGCCCATGAATTCTAACTTCTGCCAATTCACGACATAGCGCGACCACTTCGCAATGTCTTCTTCGATAAGTTACTGCTTCATCTTCAACCTGCTGTACCCTACTGGTCACGGCTTCCCACCGGAACCTCAGGTCACTGCCTGAATAGGGCCAGTCGCTAGTAAGCATCAGATTAATTTTCAAGTATTGGTTTTGTAGGGATTTTTGTTTGATTGCATGGAGGATTTCCCCTTTTGTTATGTAATCTTACTTGTCTTTGTCTGGTATGATTTGAGTTGAACTCACCACACAGTGATCCAGTTTCTCGTTAGTTATCATCTTAGATGAGTGTGATTTCTGAGCACTGTTTATTAATTGGTGGATGGTGACTAGCAGTGGAATCCAGGATGAGCATTTCGTCCAGATAACAAGTCCCAAAGAGGATGGAATACGCATCCTGGCTGGATTCCACTGCTAGTCATCATCCATCAATTAACTTCTAATTACATGCCCAGACACATCGTCGAAGCATCTGCACAAGAAGCCGACATGTCAACCTGAGACCGAGCACTTTGGTAGAATCAATCGACGGGAAAATCTAAAATTTAATTAAATGACTGTTTAGTAATTTTGAAGTCTCCTGTTGATTGACATTACACCATATTTGTACGTACGTTAAAAATGCTCTGTACATAAACTTAATTTATTTTCTGTCAGGCTGTACATAACTGATGAGCAGCCAACGGAATAAACGATGGTATCATCTTGTGGCATGTACTACTGACAAGATTTATCAGTAGAATATTAAGAGACATTCTTCGGAACCAGTATTATGGCGAAACATGGGATACGAAAAGAAAACAAAAAAACACAATACGAAGAGCAGAAGTAGCACAACACGGAAGACCTGTGCAAATGACGATTTTCACATAAGGTGTACATTTTTTTAAAATTCCTTTACGTTCCCAGTAGAACATATGACTTCAAGCTAGAGCTCTGAAGTTTCGGTAGCAGTAGTACTAATTTTTTCCGGGATGGGGTTGCTAGCCTCATGCCCAACTTTCCCTCTTTACCACTCTTAATACTAGCTTAGGGAGGTAAAGGAGTGTGTCGGTGGCCGGGGATCGAACCCTGAACCACCTGCGTGGTTGGCGAGCATTCCGCTACTGTGCCACCAACGCACATAAGGTGTAGATAATTCCCGTATATGTGTATATCAAGTTCCTAATAAGCATCTCGCCACTATCAAGCCTTTCGTCTTCTACCGTTACAATCTTATTCTGCACAAACCGTCGTCTCTGCTTTATTCAGATTCATTAAGAAGGAGAATAAGAGTATGAGAACTTAATTATGTTCAACGAGGCAAGAGTTAAGCGAATCTCTGTTGTCTAGTCAATAGTCAGAGGATATCACAAAACTGTAAACTGCTGAAATAAACCACCGTATATAAGTAAAACTTGGTCATAAGATTATATCTTTAACAGCCTGATCAAAGGTGACAAGCATAAGGAAAAAATAACCACTTATAGACGTTAATTTTATATTGAAATTGTTTACTATTAATTGTATGAATGATTATGTGTCGGTGGCACAGCGGTTAGGACGCTCGCTGACCATGCACATGGTCCGGGGTTCAATCCCCGGTCGACGCACTCCTTCGTCTCACTAAGCCAGTAATCAGACTAGTAATGAGAAAAAGTTGGGCATGAGGCTAGCAACCCCATCCTGTAAAAATAATCACCACAGCTACATAAACTTCAAGCAACTAGCTAGAAGCCTTATGTTCCACTGGGAACGTGAAGGAATAAGTAAGTAGGTATGAATGATTAGGAATAATGTTTACCTTAGCATCGTAGTCGACCTTAGAAGTTTCTCTACAAGTGTCACTGACTAGATGATTTGATATCATATACACGACTACATGAAACGGATTTTCAGGTCAATAATCAATTACGCAACACACCCAATAGTACAAAATTCATCTTACAGATTTATAGAGATATTATATACCCTTTTTTAAAGGAACAACCTCATCTCAATTTTGAATAACCGAAATCATTATGAGCAAAATCAAGAAATTCTGGACGTTATTTGCTTAAAATGAGTATATTCAAATGTGACATAATAACTGTGATACTTAATTTTCAGGTAATAGAAACCTCCCTTTAAGCTCAGGCCACACTTTCAGCCGAAATGTATCAAAAGTTTCCTTTCGTGTTCCTTAGTATATATTGCCCTATAAACTACCTACCTAGCACAATCGAGAGCGGGCAGTTTGTGTTCTAATAAATAAATAGCATATAAGTACTTAATTAATCAGTACTGCGTACTCGTCACATACTTAAACATAAAAAAGAAGGTCTTCATACTCAACACTTGAGTAAAACGGGTGTCAAACAATTGGTAATTCATAATACTCAGAAAACAAACAGTCGGACAGACGACTTTATTTTATATTCACTGCAAATCTACAAAATACATATACAGAAACAAAAAGAACTACATTGTGTTCAAGGATTAGAAAAATCTGCTCGGAAGACACGGTAGAGAAAGAATTAAATTTATTACGAGAAACCCTACTAGATAATGGGTATCCACCAAGATTTATCGACAAAAACATGACGGAGGAGCCTCCGGTGTCAAACATCACAACGGTTCCCAAGAAGACTCTCTTCATGAACCTAGCATTCAAAGGTGACATCGCAGCGGAAATTCTCAGAAACCGCCTTTCTAAAAGTCTGAAGAAGACATTTCCAACAGTCACACTACGTATCATATTCTCCTGCAGATAGTTAATCCAGTCTAACGCTAAGGATAAGATACCGCTTTTGGCCACTTCAATGTGTATTTATCAATTTACTTGCTCGTATGGAGCAAAGTATATCGGCCATACGCAACGTCAAGTCCACAAACGTACCCTGGAACACTGCCCAGCTTGGTTAGCCAGAGGAGAAAAGAAGAATAGCAGCACCTCGATTCTCGAACACCTTGTCAGCTCCGGACATCGAGCACCCCCACATGAATGTTTCACAATGGTACGCAAAGTCCGTCAATATCATACAAAGGGACTTCGGTTACGCCATCTGTACATAGCTGAAGCATTAGCTATTCGAGATCTGAAACCGGACCTGTGAATACAAAAGCGATACATACATTCTCTGGCCCTACCATAGCCAGAGTAGAGTTCTTAATATAATTTTGCTTCTTTCTTTTAATATGTAAGCTCACTATTATTACTATTGTTCTTAATACTTTTATTATTATTACTATTCCCACCATCCACATGTTAAAACCACTCTATTATTACTGTTGATTAATAACATTGCTTTTTCATACAGATTTTATCCAAAAACACTTTATAGCCTTTCCACTAGTACCTGTCCATTCTACACTAGCTGATTGATAAGTCATTATCTCACACTTGTTAAGACATGCCAACTTCTGTCTCCTTTCTAACTTACATTTAGCCATCCCTTCTTACACCTTACACTATGTAGTAGAATTTTCAAGGACAAAGTTTACCAGTATCTGATTGGTCTAAAGATTTCTGTGTTAATTATAATTACGATTGTACAGCTCATGAAAATGAATCGTCGGAAAAAAAAGAACCATTCAAAAGATGGTGTTTTGATCGCATATATATTTACAACTATATTATTCATAGAAATATTAATGTACGTACACACAGATGAACAGTATACAATGAAAGGGTGGGAATATTCGACAGGGAGAGAGAGAGAGGGGGAGAGAAAAGATACATTCTAATTACCACAAGGGCAGATATTAGCTAATACTAAATATACACATGAATGTAAAATATGAAAATTAATTTAGGCTTTAGATGCCGTCGTAAAATGAAATTAAATTTGAGTCAAACATCATTTTTGTTAACAAAAAAAGGTGACATTAAACCAAAGACAATGAAAAAGATGGGAATGAACGAAAAAAAAGAGTTCAATATCAACAAAATATTAACTAAAACGAAACACCATAAAAATCAAACAAAAGTTATTGGATTTGCATACAAATAAAATTTGCTTCAATTCTGATTTTTCGACATGAACAACTGTCATCAACTAGCTAGAAGAAAACTATTGTAAATAAGAAGTAGAGGACAGGTGTATTTCGTCTCTAATACAAGGTTCTTCTTGTGCGTCTATGGCATAGCGGTAGATTGCTCGCCAACCAACCATGCAGGTGGTCCGGCGTTTGATCCCCCGGCCACGGACGCACTCCTTTGCCTCGTAAAGCCAGTAAATAAAACTGGTCAGGGGAGAAAGTTGGGTATGAAGCTAGCCAGCCCATCCCGTAAAAATAAATACCGAAACTTCAAGCCTCTAGCTTGAAGCCCTAAGTTCCACTGGGGACGTAAAGGAATAAAATAATTATAATTATAATACTAATAACAAGGTCCTTCGACAATGCACACTTGCTACCGCCACCAAAAACAACACGCACACACACACACACACACGAAGGATAGAATTCATGGGAATAAGTGTATGCATGCTACTGAACATCGATTTCTTTTCCTTTGGTTCTCTTCTACTCCATATTGGTCTACGGAATTCAAGCAAATTAAGTTTGATGTGTTGTACAATAAGATCACAAACTGACCTAGACTGTTTATTCCATTTCTGTTTGTTATCACATTCTTAAAAGATTGCACATGTTTACAATTACACAATGCATATTGAAAAACCAATAGATTCGTTTTTGAAAACACCCAACTCAAATACACAAAAATGTAATACAGTAGCACTGTATGAAAAAAAAAAGAAAGAGAATTTTTAGAAGGATACAGGTGAAATTATATTCGATGCTTGTGCATTTACACGTCGTTCTAAAGATTTTTCATCCATATAATAGAATTTCTCCTCTTCTATAATATCTGGCTTTAAATTTATCCATAAACTGCATAAACGTTCTAATGCAGTAGAACTGAGAGAATATTCATATGCAGACAGTATACTTGATTGGCTGGTAATAGTATCACTGTTTGTAGAATTGGACTTCACGTCGACATTGTTATTATTATTATTATTGCGACTAGTGTCATGAGATGTAGATGATGATGATGGAGAATTCATTGAAGATTTTCCATCTTTACCAGACAACGGCGACGACGACAACTTAAGACCTGCATAAATATCTGTCAATGCAAGTTTACGATGATGCGACCCATGATGATGATGATGGTAGTGGTGACGATGGTGATGATGATTATGAGGGTGTTGTTGACGATGACTAGAACTACCGATATACGCAGAAGTCGACCTTAAATTTCCATCTGAAAAATAAGAAATAAGAGGAAAAATTCAAAAAAAAATTATAAGTTTGCTTCAAAAAGCAATGCTAAGCAGAAATACTTTTTCAAAACCGACATATATATATATATATACTGTTGTAAGTTTTGATAAATTTTGATAAGATAAACACACACACACACGAAGAAACTTGCCTCCGTTCATCAAGCTAAATGGAAAGTGAGTGACTAGCACTCTTTTAATTTCATTATTTAAGTTTTATAGAACATAGTTAATCTCTACCAATATTTATTTTAATGCACTAAAAAAAGACGAAATATTGCAAGCCTAGAAAGAATACGAGTATACAGTTAAGGCGTTCAGCGTATTTTAAACGCTCAAGTAAATAGAGCAAGATATTGTGATTAAGGGGGGGAGTTGTGAAATAACACGTCGCGCCTCTTAATGTTAAAGTATCTTCAGTAATTTCCTCCAGGAAGAGTGTAGTCTTCAAGCTCTGTAGGCTTTGAACAATCACCCCAACAATAGATTTCTCTCCTCCTCCTGCTAGGCATTTTCTTATTCATGCATCCATCCATCCATCCAGAGAAGGTGGTTGATTTTGAACTTTTCCTGACAAGAGATAGATTAGGCAATCAATTTAGGAGTTTCAAATCTTGCCTGAAAGAATCCATCCTTGATAGCCTAGATAGATCACCAAGTCGATAGTTGATCGTTTGTCGTTTCCATCTGACACAATGAAATAAGCTGGTATTGATATTCTTCTGATATACATATATTTCACCTGTTAAATAAAAAGTAATTTGATTTGCTGCTCTTCCCTCTACAACAATCAATATGTTGCCTAATTAGCAACATAATGTTTGCCATCCATTGACTTCTGTGACTGGAAAGGTCAAAGATCCTTCGTCTTTATCACACACACACACGTCTGTTTGATGACATCAACTCAAAATCTCAACAAACAAAACAGTTTGTTTGTTTGTTTGTTAGATTGTGATTTGATATTATTTCTTCTTCTTCACTCCATCATTACAAAGCGTGCACATCATCAACTGTGATGGTAGACAAGGCAAGGATGGTATATTACCACAGCAGTGAAATCAGACGAACACTTCAACGATAACCGAAGCACATCTTCTTTAGCTTAGCTATGTATGCGCTCAGCTAGGGATTTCGTCACCTAAAAAGAAGAAAGAAAATAAAAAGTAGGCTACTCATTAACCACTGATGTATCCTCATCACATATCACGTACATCATCATATAAATAATAAGACATAGATAAGATTACATTGTGAATTGACAGAAGTTTTAGAATTCATAGACTATCGGATTCCAGTCGAAGTGGTTGAATGATGAACAAGCTTAGCCGCATAACCTAGAGACCCTGGGTTCGATTCCCTTTGGGGTTGTGGGTGGGTGCGGCGTACCAGTGAAGAGTCCCAAACTGAGTTTATCACTATTCACACACTCCCAACTAGTTGAGTTCGAAATGAAATCGCACCATCCAACCAATCCTATTTGATTGATTGACACTTCCTCGCATACATACACACCTATTAACACATCACTCAGATTTCGCTTTCATGTATCATCCATTTTCATAATGTTTATTGATCAGTCCTTATCTTTTTTTTATTCCTTTGCATTCTGAGTGGAACATAAGGCTTCTAGCTTACACTTTAAAGTTTACTTCCGGCTAGGCGACGGTTAGGAGTGCGTCGGTCGGGGGTCGAACCCCATCCACACCACATGGGTGTTTTTATCGAGTGTCCTACCACTGAACCACCGAGACGTATAGATGAATGTACTAGCTGTTATTCCCTATCGAACTTTCTCTTTACCTGGAACTAATAAATCAATAACAACTTCCACGGGGCAGCGACATAGTTGAAGGTAGTTCCCACAATAATCTGTGCCAAACATTTTACACAAACACACGAAAATGAGAGTTAGCAAGGAGAAAGTCACACAGATGTGCGTGAGATATATCCATTGAAAGTGTGGGATATGAAAAGACTATTTGTCTTTGACCACAGATGTTTGCATTCTTTTTCATGTTAAGCAGCACTTTAATATGGTGAGTAATATTGAGGTTAGGCGTAAAGTGCTAGGTAAGGAGGGTGAGCCAATCGATCAAGTCGTGAAATTACCTCGATTGGGATGGCTAGGACTCCTGTTGCGCGTGCAAAACAACAACAGTCCTTGACAAATGACGTTAGCTGACGCAGGATTGAGTTGGAAGAGAGTTAGAGGGATTCAAAGCAAAACCTGCCATTAGTCCATGAAGACTTTGACTGTTGGCTTGAGCCATGTAGGGAAGTGTAAACTGCGTGGTAAGGGTCCTTAGGATGCTAAGAACGACTGACTGGAGACAATCGTAGATATGGCTCAAAATCGCTGACAATGGCACAGATGTATTCACTCTCTGTAATCTCCTATATTAACAAAACCGTCATATTTTCTCCACTTTACTATTTTTGAACTGCTACACTTTTGTGCACAGTTCTGCGTTGGAACTCAGTCCGTCGGTCGGTGATAATTTAGTTATTCTTGTATGAAGAGTCAACCCATCCTCTAGAAGTTGCTTAATTTCCCCAACATCCTGAAAATGATTACTCACTATGAAAACTGATAATCTTAACCACTTTAACTGCTCAAGTCAGTAACCGGATTCGATACCGGTGACCTACCGATTCTGGCCGATGCAAATAAGGCCCCGGATATAGTGGCGATCAGATACTGGGAACTACGTTAGCAATTTCAATATAAGATCCGCTGTCTACAGTAATATGAAATGACCACGAGCCACGCATTAAATAGTGCGGAAAAAACAGCCCAACTTAGTAGCGATATAAAGAAGTCTGATACAGACGACATGCGATATCTATTTCTTCTTCAAAGTTAATAATCATTAGATAACATTTACATACACTAGTATTTTGTTTGTTATTAAATCGTGGAACTTTTTATGAATATAATAAGTGAGTATCAAACCAAACTAACCTGTAAATGTAGGAATTCGGGCAGGAGATGGGGTATGACGAAGTTTCATCTCCAAACACCGTCTATAAACATCACATTTTTTCACCTCATTGAGAGCTCCAATAAGATAATTATCTGAGTAGTAACCGGCATTTGAAACATTTGAAGCATCCTCCCATGTACTTACAGATTCAGCACTGCTTGAATAACTGACATCTGTATACACATCCTTGTCACTAGGACACGATGAGACAAATGAAGATACATTAAAGATACCATTGGATGAATACACATTTCCCAAATTTAACTTATTTCTGCTTTTATTATTGTTGTTTGAATAAACTCCAATGAAATGTTTCGCAGGCATAACCATGGAGGCTAACAGATTTGAGGCAATTTGTAAACAGCCAGGTAGACCAACAAGATTTTGACAATTAGTACAATGAAATTTGGCTTCTTCGCTTCCTGAACTGAGATGACTTTTCAATGTATTGTTAGACGAATATACAGTAACCTAAACAAAATATTGAATGAACCAACACATTGAAAATGTGTTGCAAAATATTTCGGATTCGAAAACCACAAATGTGAGTTAGAGAATCTAGTCAGCCTGTTAAATATACGAATAACACAACAATAAACTCGTGACAGTCGACTGACTCAGATCCCACCAACGACATAGTACAGCCAAGGGTTGATACACTTCGGTCTTCCTCACAAAAAGCTCTCACTTGACCACCCATTAATGTCCTTCGCCAGGTAAGTCCTGTCCATTGCCTTCACATACCTGGGGTACTCCTTTACTAAGGATATGATGGTCTACCTAGAGAAACTGGATCTTATGGAGCCCACTAGACAAAATAATTTAGTTTATCTAATACCCCTCAATGATTTTAAGGTCAAATAGGTAGGTCAAAGCAGTCAGACAGGGTCAATTTGACTAATGCAGCACAAAAACTTAGCAAAATCTAGATTAGGTAACCCTAATAAAGTAAGAAATCTAGAAAATAACTTAGCTAAAGCAATATAACGCAACCGTACAATAGGGTGAGATAAGACGACATGGTAGGGGGAGACAGTGATAACGGAAGCTTTATTTACCGAACCAACTGAAAATACGTGCAATAGGAATGATTCAACACTTATCCCAGACATCTAAAAAATCCTATTACCCCTACCACAAATGGGAGTAAAGGGCGGAGACAATAAAGTCACGTTTCGAAGTTGCGTAGTTATAAGTGATATGATCATGAACAGTAAAATTATGTTTGAAACGTCATCCAGTAAATTATACCGTTTTACTGTGTGAAATATCCAATAAACAGATGAATATGGAATTTGTAATTAGACCTCTAGTGATGTACAGACTATACTAAAATTTTAAATAAACTTATGGTTGTTTACACGAAAACAAAAGTCATATTAGTACTTCGACTTCTGTGTAATAATGACTATAAAATTATTGCTGAAAAATTAAATGCGTTCAAACGATGAAATGTCCGGTAATAGCTGGGGCTTGTTCTAGACTTTCTAGAACTCATTAGTATACCATTATTAATATTCTCATTGGTAATCGGTATAAGTGACTAAAAGGTTAAGTCCCAGAATGTCATCTTTCTTACCGCTAACAAGTACCAGACAAAAATGTCACATCAGATGAACTCATTTCAAGGAGCCTGACAATAAATCACATTTAATATATTACGGCTGTGACAGTGACTATTAATTATTCCTATAAAATCAAAATTAGCAGTAATATATAAAGTGAACACTTAGTTACCCTTGATAAGTATAACTTGATTAAAGCTGAGGACAATAGTGATGAAGGAGACAGGTAATCCACATTCTTCAAGGACGGTGAACTTATACAGCCTGTTGAAGTATTGTGCATTTTACATGTATGCATAATATCAAGCAATGGATTAGCAGAATTTGATTCGAACAATGACGTGGCATATGGACTTGAATCAGACTTCGATAGACTGGGTAGCTCAATAGGTTCACGAGCATTTTTAAATTGAAGATTTGTCTCTTCTAATACATTTTGAAGTGGAAAGTATGATAGTTCAGTAGAGGTACTTTGATGATCATCCGATATGGAGAAAGAAGGACGACGCACCATATTACGCGCAAATGTCTTTGAAAAATCGATCTCATGATTGTCCGTTGAATTTACACGATTGCTTTTGCGACACTAAATATATACAAACATTGAGATTAACATACAGGATAGCATCTTGTAAAGCGGCTTACACAGTGATTACCTTAGAGAAACCTTGAATGTATATTACCAAGAAAGATGCAACGAACAAGCAGTGGCAACTTTAGTGCTCCTAAGAGTATTTATAAAAAGTAATAAATAAACGGTGGTAGAAAAATAAAATGCAGGTTGCTGAGGGTGACTATGTAAGGTTTAGCCATTAAGTTGGCCAGACAATCAGACAATATGTAACTTATGGCAAAAAGAAACAATCTAAATATTCTCTTATAGACATTTTCAAACGCCTCGACAGAAATCACCGCAAATAGTATGGTGTGGATATAACTTTCGAAGCTGCATAATAAATAATATCTAAGTAGGCGGTAAACAGATCCATGTTCACCAGCTGAATCAGAATCATCAAAATTAAGTCAGTGATTAAATTCTGTTGAATTTGACGCACTGTAACAGATTTTCAGGCAGAGTGGAAAGGGAAGCACTGGTGCATCTGTAACAAACAATTTATTATTAAGTTGTATATTGCATGATTAAACACCACTCACTAACAGTAAAATGCATTAAAAGTAAATAATTATTAGCTTACATCTGGAACATCAGCCAATGACAGAGTACGCCTTCTGCACACACTCTGATGCTTCGCCATGAATAATTACTATAGACAAACCTAAAAAAGACATGTACTAATTATATAAGACACTGACTATTATATATAGGCTACAAATGAAAAATAGAATATCTTACACTCCATGAACTGTTAGATAACCTGAATTTATGAACGTGAATCATAATCGACTTAGATATACGACTGCAGGCGATCATCGTTGTGACAATGTTCATAAAGCTCGACACTAATGATACTAAGATGAAACAATGTAATTTTTTGGCGACTAACAATAGACCAAAACACAAAACACGTTAATTTTCTGTTATCTAAAATATGTGTTTAATAAAAAACAACCATTTTAACCTAGCTTGGTTACACCATATACATGATGGTGACATTAAACAGAGTCACAAGGTTCATCGATTTAACACCTCACAATGGATCGATTGGATCCAATCGATCTATTAGCTAGCAGCTTAGCTAAAAAATCAAATATTCCCTAAATACATTGCATTCAATGTCGTGTAGATGACTGGTTTTCTTTCAAAACTGCCAAGAGAGTATTTCATGCATTTGCAAGAGAAAAAGCAGTTAATATTAATGTACAACACCGTGATTTATCAAAATAAATTCTTATCCATAAAGGAAAAAGTAGGAATTAGGATGACTATAGAAAAGACAAAGTGGTGACAATAGAGGATTGTCGCCATTCATCTTAATCAACTTTCTTATCAATTAGGAGGTGGAACACAACATCAAATAATTTACTAACAACCTTTAATCCACTAACCAGCTTTTTTCCTCTGGTCAAGCATCAGTTTCCCCAATTCAAACACACACATTTTTTCTTAACTAAATACGGAGTCATGAATCGACAAACCACAATGATAAAACTTAAAATTCAATTTACAGCCTGATAAGGTTGGGAGAAACAAAGCCGCAAGGTCAAATCTGTAAAGGCCGCTGGACTTATTCACTCGAGATTCCATATTCAATTTCCTAGTGACAGGTGTTAAGAAGACTTTTAATTTCTTGTAAGATCAATTTCATTCAGGAGAGAATCTTCATTTTTGGTATATTATTCAAGTTCAAGTAATGCATACTGTGACTGCCGTCCCTCATCTGATTGCATTACTAAGGAGGGAGTTAATTTACTTCAAAGCCAAACTATGTCTTGATCAAAAGCTGTTATAGTTCTGGAACTGTCATCTTTTGCAGACGAAACAAGTAGAAGATGAATCAGAATCATTAGGTGTCAGTCAGGTGGGACAAGGAAAAATTAGTGATCAGAGAAAGTCATGAAACGCCTGTGTGTGTCGGTGGTACAGAGGTTAGGACGTTCGCGCGACCATGCACGTGGTCCGGGGTTCGATCACCAGCCAATGCACTCGTTTACCTCGCTAAGCCATAAATAATCCTGGTAAAGAGGAAAGGTTGGGTATGAGGCTAGCAACCCCATATTCTAAAAATAAACACTACTACAGAAACTTCAAGCCACTAGCTTGAAGCCCTATGTTCCACTGGGAACGTGAAGGAAACAATTAATTATGCATGAAACTTCTGTAGAATATTGAGATATTTGTTAGAATATTGACTTAAGTATAAAAATAAAATCGGAATATTTGCCTTCCCGCTTCAACTGTGCGTCGGTGGCA